ATTATTATTATTGTTGTTGTTGTTGTTGTTGTTGTTGTTGTTGTTGTTGTTGTTGTTGTTATAGTATTTTACACAGATCATCTTCATTGACATTGTTATAATTTAAATAATATAGCTGCTCATTTTGTCTACAAGGTGTGACTTTTACTTTGATCCTGGGGTCATTCAGCAGCTAGAGCCAATGCAGCCTTTCAGTTGGAGGCTGGGAATGCTCACCTCACTAAAGTTTCCTCTGATCCTGACAAGACTCTCTGAAATATGGGGCTGACAGATATAACACAGGAGCTGCAGGAGATGCACATTATAATTCTGTAACACTTGTTTCAACATTATGAAATGAAAATTGTACCTTACTCCAAAAAGCTAACTTGTGATTGACTTCTTCTGGCTTTGGCTTCATCTTTGTCTGTCTCCCCACATGGTCCTTGTTGATAGGTGCTGTGGAACGTTTGTCTGATCTGAATTATGTGCAGATATTTTATTGAAAGTTTTTAATGACCTTCCTGAGGGCAGGCTGTCTTTACTGCACTTTGCACAAAGTTCAAGATGATCTGGGTGTCAGAAGTAACTGATAGGTACATTTTATGTAGTGAAACATAATCAACTCTCAAAAGAAGCAGCTTAGTGACAAGAAGCTGCTTATGACAGCTGAGGTTACAGACTCCTGATAAATTCTACCCCGAAGTTACTAACAGCAGCTGAGACTGAAAAGTCAAAATCCATCTTTTATCATAATTAATGAGTAATGAATGACATTCAGCTTAAGTTTTGGCTGGCAATTAACAAAAAAAAAAAAAAATGCACAGAGCTGAACTGCACTAATAAATAAAGACTGAAATATATTCACTGCCCCAAATATTGGTTTTGCTGATTGAAATAGCTGGAAGAGCACATAGATCATCCTGCTGCCTGTGTGTCTTGCAGAACACATCATGTGTCAGGGAACTTACCACATCCTTGTTTATGTGGTGGAAACACCTTTACAGCAGTCTAAGGATCGATTCCCTGTCTGGTTTCCAGCTGAAGTTTCATTGTAGAGGTGTGGCCATGCTGTGGGAGTTGGCCTCAGGACCAGAGATAATCTGTTTAGAAACACTAATGAATGAAAAAAACACCAAGACTACAAAAAAACCAACCAACTAATAAACCAAATTGTTCAAAACTTCATCTGTGACTGCTTGGTTTCCTACTGGTGTAGTCTTCCTATGACCCTGCTGATTTTCATGAGGAATATTCTTCCAATGCTCATTCTTGCTTGTCTATGCAGTGGACATTTTTGAGGTGCTCTGAATATATTTTTTCCCCCTCAAGACAGCAACCTTGAGTCAGCTCAGCAGGTCAGTAACTGTGCAGAACCTGGAGCAGAGGCTGTAACACCAGCAAACTGTGGCTGGAAACACTGTCCAGTCTGAAAGAATTGAACCTGAAAAACTGGAGGACAGGATGGACAACAGATAAAGTTGTTGAAACTCTTTTTTCAATAGCACCAATTTCAGTCCTGAGCAGAACTAGTGGTGATTAGAAGTTCTTCTCATTTAGTTTTAATTGAAGGTTAGTTTAGTGTGGGGTTTTTCCCTTTCTACTTAAAAGTTAGGTGTTTAATCAAACTAAGCTTCCTCTAGTCAGTGGAGTTGCTCTAACCAACCTGTCTAAATTTATGCCTGACTTCTATGTCTAAAATTAGAGATCTGGGTAAAGCTGTACTTTGGTTTAGGGGTTCAGTGAAAAGCAGATTCAATTGAGTTAAAAACGAATTGTATGGTAACAACAAAAAGTAGTCAAAGGCCAGTGGTACCTCTGGATTTATTTTACTACAAAAGTAAAAGAGTGGGTGCACAAAAGCTTCTTCTGCTGCCACAGTGCACTTGGCTTGTTAATCAGGCATGAAAGATTTTTTTTATTCAAAACAGTTGGTGTCACCACAAATATCTTTCTCCAATGCAGTTTTCAAATGTGGTTTTGCCATACAGGATTTCTGGTTTCTGTTTTAACTGATAGGAATAAAGGGGAAGAAACACAAACTTTTTATGTGATTCAAAAATAATGATTTTTAAGCAGTTTTCCTCATACACCTGTCCATAGCTCATTGTACAATATTTTTATCTGTTTGCTCATCTTTCATTTTTATTTTCACGTCATAGGCAATTTTCAAGGGAAAGTTTTCCCACTTATTTCTCAGATCCAAATTTGACAAATAAGGAGATAATATTTTGGCATACTTCCAGCAGTTTATTCACAGAGCATCCAGTTCCACTAACATGCTCTCTACTGTCCATTCCTAATTTTCTGTGTAGTTTTATTACCGGCTTCACACTGCCTGTTAATTGGCAAAGATTCAGTGCTTTGATAACACCTTAATTTATCTCACCATAATGATGGCACAGAGTGGTTCATTAATATTTGTGTTAAATGCATTAATTAATATTAAAAAAAACCCCACACATATGAAAAATAGATAGCTCTGGGTGATAGCAGTAATGGGATCATCTTCCTGCCATCACATGGCCAGTCGAAGACTTTGAATTGAAGAACCACAGAATGGTTAAGGTTGGAAAAGATATTTACAATCATCAAGTCCAACCAGCAGTGCCACGTTTACCTCTAAACCACGTCCTCAAGTGACACTTCCACATGTTATTTTCCCCATGTCCCTGGGCAGCCTATTCCAATGCTTTACAACACTTTCCATGATGAAAGTTTTCTAAATACCTAATCCAAATCTCCCCTGGTGCAACTGGAAGCTATTTCCTCTCTTCCTGTTGCTTGGTACTTGGGATAAGACTGATGGCCACCTCACTATTACCTTATTTCAGGTGGTTGCAGAGACCAGTAAGGTCTTCCCTCAGCTTCCTTTTCTCCAGATTAAGATGGAGATTAAAGTGGGGGCCTCTGAACGAAAATATTACTACTGTGCATGTAGACAGATAAATGCAATGTACATTCATTCTTGCTGAGAGATGATGCTCACCAGCATTTCAGATTTCCTTGAGAATCCAAAGTATACACAAGGGATTGACAGATATAGGCCAGATAAGACCCTGATCCTTCTAGAGGAGCAGTGGGAGTCAGACGGGGTAGACAGGGCCAGCCTCCAAATCTTGATATTTTCAGTTGCTTCAGGAGATGCATTTATATATCACTAATTCAAATATCTTTCCATTAAAAACTCCACAACATAAACTCTGCCCAGAGCAAAATGCCCTTTCCATTAAGGCTTGAATTTCCCATTAATTTCTTATTCATGTTCTTTTATGGGAAGGTGAACCTGAACAGGAATTAAGAGGTTAGATTTTGTTAGATTAGGGTTTTGGTCCCTGCCTAGATACTAAACTGTATTTTCCAGCGAAGTATAAATACCCAGTCTTTATAACAAGTGGGACCTCCACTGTTGAAATAAAGGATAATATTGCCATACATACTTGAACAACTCTGCTAATTCCAGGAGTTCAGGACACTCAGTTTTTTACAGATGTGATCCATTTTTTGCATGATCACTCATTCTGAATGCAAATTTGCCCGAGTTCTCTGTATGCTGTTTGTATATAAAACCTGACAGAGATTAATTTTTTTCTATTACATTTTTTCCTTTTCATCTTGTATGGTGCAGTATCTATAACTCAAACACTACTTTTGCACATTGGCTTGTACCTTGGCACTGCACCCCTGCAAATCTCAGTGGAATTGTCTTCTTTTTGTTTTAATGGATTGAGTGGAAGAATTAACACACCAAAGTGAAGCGAGATAAGAAAGGCAGCCTCTCATGTGACTGTGTTTAAAAAACTGATGAATTTGTCACAGTTGCATTTCCTCTGATTTTGGAGAAGAGTACATAGAGAATTGGTTAGAGGTATTCACTGTAACACCTGGGGAATTGTATTTCCTGGAAGATTACAGGGGTAATATTATTGAGAGTTCATTTGTTAGGGAAGAGAGGTGATAGTTGGATAAAACAAGTTTAAATATGTGGGAACTCCCTCCCAAGGAATTTCCTTTTCTATCTGAAACTCTTCTGAAGTTTTCCTCACTGTAGCTTTGTCCTTGGTGAGTGGTCTAGAATTGCTCAGAAAGTCAGTTCTGAAAGATGCATTGAAACAACACAAAATGAAGGACTGTCATCAGGTTCCCAAACAGTTGTGAATATGTCTATAAAACTGCTGTTAAAACTACATAATTTTGCTTTTAATTTTTTTTTTTACTAAAAATTTTAGATCCATTTGTTCTTAGAAAGCTTGGCTAAACCTCTGAGCTAGAGTTGCTTTAAGTCATACCTGAAAGAGGATATAGTTTACATCTAAAGACTTTTTTTATTACTGTTGTTTCTTCCTGGAAAGACTCAAACCTTGTGCCACAATATTGGAATCAAAATCTCGAGTGGGAGCAGTGGCAGTTAGCCCAGACCCTTGGCTGAAGTAGCACTTGGAAATAAACTGTTGTAAATTTTCTGGGAGAAGATTAAATAATTATTTTGAGGTTGTGGGAATGAGGATTTAATTGCCAGCATTGTCACAACCTTTCCTGCAGTTATGGGAAAAGCTCATCTGAGGACCTCTAAATATTAAATATCAAGGGTTAGCAAGTTTTCCTGGGTGCATCCACCGTGAGTCAATAGAAATGAGGACTCCTGCTACTTTTCCTAATCTAATCTACCATTTATCTAATATAAATCATCCTAACCAGTTTGGATTCCTGCTTTAGGACAATATGAATTGCCTTGCATTAGATCTTCTTCTTTACACAAAAACATTAAATCTGGGTAACAGATTCTAGACCAGATAACTATTTAACATAGCCACATTTAAGTGGAATAAATCCAAACTTTAATCTCGGTATAAATTTATTTCCTTGCCATAATTTCAGAATAATATTTTTATTGTTTCTCTGCTTTGTATGTCTTACCTGTTGGATGAAAATTCTAGTTCTTGTAATGTCACAGATCTGCTCCTGGTCAAGTTTGATAATTTTATTTCAGAGATGGAAATTATTTTGAAGCACCAGACAGATCAGGGTTAAATCAACATAGATTTTATTGCCGTGAAATGTTTGATCAAATGTGGTCATTATCTTCATAGACTCATGTAAAACAGGTAGCTTGTATAGGAAATAGAAATATAAAAGATTATGCTTTTCACCACTGAATTATAAATTAAATTAAATGGAAGGAAAAAACCAAACCAAAACTCCAAAGCAATAAATAGGACATTGTTTGTTGGTGACCAAGTGCGCACTCACATTTAAATACAATCACAACAGCTGCTGTACAGAACAGAATTAATTGTACAAAATAAAGAAAAGTAAAGAATAGCAATAAAAAAGATTAGACCTCTCCAAGCGACCTTCACCTGGCAAAGGAAAATGACTTTATCTTCCTCCCTCATTCCCCACACAGCTGTATGTGAATTCTTGTTAAACCTGAAATGAGGGCAGAGGCAAAGGATACTTTTATAAACACAGTTCCTGTATAATTTATTGATTCTTCCTTGTGTTGCAGGCTTGTGTCTTCTACTAATGCTGTTTCTTCTCGTCCTTAGAAATAAAGAATCAGAGCAGCAGAACAATTTCTCCAAAGGATAAATGAAAGTCAAATTACCTTGAAATTCACCAGCACCCCTTTTGGATACCTAAGACATCTAAGACCAAAATTGCTTGTTGGTATTAGGAAACAAACAAACAAACAAAAAATAGCAGTTAGAGATTGTAAAGTTAAAACTGGCTCTTGGGACAATAAACATCCCATCTTGAGCCTGGCTGCAAAATTGTGAGCTGCGCCTGTGCCACTGAGTCACGTCCAAAGGAAGAGATGAACTGGGGAAATATTTACACAGAGGTCCAGGATTTGGAAGGACTATACATTGTGCCTGCTTTGTAGCAGATTTTTCTGGTTTTAGGAAAAGTCAAAGAGAAACTTCAAAGAGCAGATTCCATGTTGATTTGGAGAGCTGAAGTCTTTTCCCAACAAATGTTGGCATTTATCTTTAAAAAGGAAGCAAATGAAAGGTCTAAATTCACCCCTTCTGCCAGTTCTCCAAGGCAACAGAATGACACCTAGAAGGAGTTAGGGTTAAAGATGGCAGCACGAAGGACAAAGTTCTTGACAGTCTTCAGTTGTAGGTGGCAGAGTCATCACTGCTTGTCTGTGGTTCCCTCCCCTTAACAGGCCACATGAGCTCTGTTCCAGTTCTCATCTTCTGATAAAATTCTCTCTTTACTACATTACCTCTTGTCGTGTAGGGGTGCTAAGTGAGGGCTGTGTGAACAGAGAACCAAACCTCAGGGCAAAGGTGGGAATGCTGCTCCTACTCTGCCAGACTCACCTGCTAAGCTTAGTCAGCACAGGAGCTGTTTGTACTCATAGTGAGTAACACCTTGCTCTAGAAAAATAAATTTGTAGTTAGTGTGTTTGCACCATTAGCAATTTGCTAATAAATCCAAGAGTCAAAAGCTGCGCTTTGTGAGCCAAATGTGCCAGGATTTAGGATAAGGAGTAAGTTCAATGTTAAAATGTTTTGAGATTGGTGGTGGGAGAGGTGTAACTCGCACAAGAGCTGAGCAATGTGCTGAAGCACAACAGGATCCAACTGCTCAAAGAGCACTTGGGTTATGATTCAATTTTTGGGGTCCAACAGTCATAATGAGTCATTGTCCTGGCCATGAAATATTGGAGATTTTTCTCTACTCCTTTAATGGTTTTGACATTGAATAAACACTTCCATAATCTCTTAAAGGAAGATTTTTTTTTTCTTTTTTCTGATTAGATAAATTTCCAAGTCAAAGTATACTTCAATCTGACACCAGAGAGCACCAACTAACTTCAAATCATGAACTTCCTTCAGGTTTATCTAGGTAATCAATGTGTTTTGAGATGGCAATGTTTCCACAGAGACAGGGACTAAGAAAACAATAAAACCCCTAAACTTACCACATGGGAACATGGGCATGTTGCCATGGACAGCACGGGAATGTAAGTGGGAACCTAGGCTGAGATTTTAACAGGAACATCAGTGAATTCATTGCTTAAAACCTCACTGAAAGTATCGATATCAAAAACGAAAGGTATTTTGACACCAAGCTGCTCCAATAGCTAGTTCAGCAGAAAAGGCAGTGATAATTATTGTCTGCTCAATAAAATTAAGTGCAATTAAAAAGAAAAAATAGAGAGCCTGCCAATGTCAGCAAACTTGTAGCCACATTTTAAAAAGAGCTTTGCTTTTAAAATGTGCTAATGCACTAAGGGAAAAAATAGATGCTTGCCATGGAAATAGAAACAACTTCTTAATGGTAAGAACATATAGCAGTTCAATCAGGTAGAATCAGATTTGTATAGACCATTAACAAAAATATACAGGGGTCATTAAGACAAAAACTGGAAGTTCCGGGGCTTGAAGTGGGCTCAGATTTATTAAAAGATCAAAGGGTAATCCAGGCCAAAAATAACCTGTTGCCTGCGGAGCAGACACTCATAATGATTATGTAACAGTGAGAGACACAAGTCTTGAAACAAATTATTATTGGGGCCTTGGACCATATCCTGATTAGGCAAATATTTCATATAAGGCTGTATACATATTATTTGCAATGTTAAGCATTTTGATTTGATGGTAATAAAATGCTGCTTTCCCAACAGGTTCATAGATTTATTTGCCCAACCTTTTATTCCTCCTTTTCCAAAAAGTTTATATTTTAGTGGAAAAAAATGAAGATAATTTTAAAAACATTTTACTTATATTTTTGCCCAAATAAAATCCAATTTAAATTTATCCACATCTTGAAATAGAGGTTCAAATTAAATTGCTTTACAGCACATATTTTACAGATGTGGCAAATCTGCATATTCGATGCAGTGAAACTTTTAATTTTTCCGTTTCCTCTCCCTCAGTCTGGGCAATAGAAAAAGCAGAATGACTTTCCTTTTCACTTTTAATCGTGGTTACGTACTTTCACACTCAAGTATTTAATGTTCTAGGAAAGTTCCACAGTGTTTCTGCTGAGGACATCTCTGTTCATTTGATTTTAGCATTTCACGAGAAGTACCAGTACAAATTCATTAAATTAATTTAATAAAGTTAAATTTTTTGAGGTACTTATCTGATCTTGGTGTGTTAAGGTGATGGAGTCCCATGGAGATACACCTGTTTCCCTTGATGCAGGAGGGTGATAGCACTAAAGCAGATATCTGACTTATACACCTGCCCTGAGCAAGGACAACTCTGGGCAAAAGCATAGGATTTTTTTTCCAGATTTCTTTAAATAATCAATCAGGGACTCCTTACTTTCTAAAGTGTTTTCTCATGGTGATGGCAATGTCCTTAGTGACCTTGAGAGGAGCAGCATCATGCCATCATCACTCTATTGCCTTCCATGATTTGAAAGGTGAGGCTGATTTTGTTAATTCAGTTTGATTCCTTGCATCTGGCTCTAAACACTGCAGCTATTTGTTGCAGTACCTAGATTTAGTCTAAACTGATCATCCAAGGTGTAACCCATGCTAACAACTTCTAGGAAGTAAAAATGTGTGTGAGAGCTTTTGCCATCCACAGTTATCTACTACCTGTCTCTGGGATTCTCCAGCTCCTCCTCCAGGTGAGTCCAGTTTTCCTACAGGTTTCATGTTACAACTGTCAAAACTCTGTCTTAGATACCTAAAACATCTCAAATGGCTCTAAACATTTACACATGGACAACTATAGCTTTTCTTACCACACAAAGAGTTGAATTGTCCCTTGGAAGAAAAGGTCTGGTTCTGCTGATCTGAAGTAGAATTTAGATGGGCAACACCAAGCCCTCCCAATGATACTACTCGTTCTTAACTTTCTCAATAAAGTGATGTTAGAGAAACAAGAAAAAGAATGGAATAAAGGTCTTGTTGAAGAAGGAGTTAGAATGTGCTGGAAAAAGTCCCTAGACTCAACGATTCTTGAGCTCTAACTATACCTCCCATGTTTTCTGCCTGAGCATTGTGTGCTAGGTGGTAAAGTAATATTTCAAAAGTATGTTAGCAAGGTTATTACCACTCAGCTGCTGTGGACTAAGCCAATCTGTCTTATTTGTTGTTTGTTTTTATTTTATTTCCAGTGAGTGGATTCTGTTAGACCTCTGCGCCTCAGCTGGATTTATAAAGACAATAAAGCTGCAGAAACAAGCTGTTGAAGAAAAGAAAGCATCATAAAATCAAGGCAACAGAAAAGGTGACTCAAATTGCCTGCACTGACTGTGTTGAACAGAGATCCAGGTATGGCAGAGTGCTGTGGGACCAGGGGCTGAGAAAATAGAGAACAGAAGCCCATGCTGTCATTTAAACTGAAGTTCACAGAGGGATCAGGGCTTTTACTGAGACTATCAAGGTTTGTTTTCCTTTTAGTCTGCCATGCTCTTTTCAGAAGAGAGACCATGGCTGCAGCTTGAATGGTCAGGATAGATTCCCAACAGGTTCTGGCCTCATTCCATTGCAGTTTTATTGTGCATTCCCATGTACAGGATGGTTCATTTGTCCCATGACCCAAGAATTCCTCTTTTGCCAGATTTCCATATTGTTTTCCCAATGGTGAGTAATCAGGCGTTTCCAATGGACCAGAGGAAGCCTTTCTTTCAATCTATCCAGCATGAGAGCAAAGTCAGGATGCTGGAACTATGTGTCCCACAACAGATGCACTGACCCCAACTCTGCTGCCGGAGAAGAAAGTGCTTCAAATTTCATGTGCCGCCTCAGCCAAGTCCAGAAGTGCTTATAAAAAACAGTGTTAGTGTATCATTCAGAACAATCAAATACTACGTGCACAAAAAAGCAGTTTAGAGCAACATAAATTTTAAAAAAGTGACAATTTCATCACACAATTACTGTACACTGCTGTTCTTAGGGTTGAATACTTTCCTCTCTCACGCTCTCTCTCTGTTTTAATCTTTCTTTTTTATTTTCTTTTTATTTTCTTTTTACTATTTTTTTTTCTTTTTTCCCTCCCCTTTTTTTTTTTCTGGATTTGGTCCACTGGAGATAAATTGCCCTCAATGATATATATATTTAAAAAAAATATCAGCAGCAAGACTCTCTCGAAATAGATTCTGTTTGATGTAGCTAGTCTGTCTTTTCTGTTTTGCCCTCTTTCACAGCAGCCTCTGAAGTTTTCCGCAGGGGGGCTTTCTCCGAGTTGGCGTGTCCTTGGCCGGATTCTGCCGCTCCTCCGTTTTTGTGCGATGTGTGCTTTTCCAAGTAGTTCAGCATTTCACTGAGAACAGTTTGGAAAGTGCTTAGGGCAGCACATATTGCAGGAGTTCCAAAACCATGAGTGATCAAACTACAAATGGGAAGGAGACAGAAGAGAAAAAAAAAAAAAAAAAAAAAAAAGGGAAAGAAATACACACACACACATAAATATCAATGTGCTCACAAACACTGAGGAGTTTACAGTGTGCTCATTTTGCTATACTGAAAATTCAAGATTTGCTCCCTAAACTATTTATTACCTGTGGGAGAAACAGAAAAGAAAGGAATAGAGCCAAAGAGCAGACTGCATACAGCTTCAAATGTTGTTTTTGGTGGAGCCTTATTTCTGAAACACCATGAGACAGACTCTCAGCAAGTGCAGACTGACACAGGGCTGTTGACTTCAGAGAGGCCAAGACAGAATCCATGCCCTTGGTTCTGCAGCATTGCTAATTTTCCAGTGTCATAAAGTCTGGCTCTCCCTTCTTGGGTGAATAAAAGGAATTCTGTGTGGTTTATTCACAATTCTGGATGATACTTACTTGACTTGATGATCTTGGAGGTCTTTTCTACCCTTAATGATTCTGTGATTTTATAGCTCTTAAACATGGTTATTCTAAATGATTGCATCTGTACTAGGAAATTCAGCAAAGCCAAGGATACCATCTCCAACCCTCAGCACAATTTGGTATGATTTGGCCATATCCATGCTTCTAAATTCATGGACCATCCCACAGGGTGAGATCTGAAGTTCCTGTTGGGAATAGACCCTGGCCAATACCCTTGGCCAATACCCATGCTCAAGTGATGAACAGAAAATATTTCACATAGGGCTGGTTTAGCCAGGCTGAATTAATGAACAATCCTAACCAACTATTGTCAAAAATAACACAGTTCTAATGATGCTTCCTTGTAGTGTTGAGTTTAGCGGTATAGATTTGCCCTGTTGCACCTTTCATCTGAATATCTAAATAAGGGGGTTTTATAAGCACTGAATTTTTATTGTCAATGTTCCTGGCTGCCACCTGCAGATCCAGAAGTGTGCAAGTTTTCCACAAGTCTCATTTCTTGGATACCATCTCGGTGAAGATCACAGAATCCCAGAATGGTCTGGGTTGGAAGGGATCTTAAAGATTATCTCATTCCAGCCCCTGCCATGCTCAGGGACACCTTCTGCTATCCCAGGTTGCTCCCAGCCCTGTCCAACCAGGCCTTGGACACTTCCAGAGATCCAGGGGCAGCCACAGCTTCTCTGGGAAACCGTGCTAGGGCCTCTCCACCCCCAAAGTGAGGAATTTCTTCCCGATATCCCATCTAATTTTGCTCTCTGTCAGAGGGAAGCCATTCCTCCCTTCCTGTCACTCTATGCCTTTATCCAAAGTCCCTGTCCAGTTATCAGGGAGCCTGTTAGGGTACTGGAAGGGGCTCTAAGGCCTCCCCAGAGCCTTTTCTTCCCCAGGCTGAGCAATCCCAATCTCTCAGCCTTTTCTTGCAGCAGAACTGCTCCAGCCATCTAACCATCTTCATGGGTTCCTCTGGAATTGCTCCCAACAGCTCCGTGTCTTTCCTGTGTTGGGGACCCCAGAGCTGGATGCAAGACTGCAGGATGTCCCAACTACCAAAGGATATGGGACATGCCACTAGAAATCAGTTTTTTGGCAATTGACTTTGATGCCTTTTTCCTAAATAGTATGTGTGCAGTATAAGATGATCATGAAAGGACCAAACATACTAAAGTTATTATGGGCAACCAAGTTGTTCTCCTTGTTATAATGATTCACTTTGATAAGTGGTATGTAAAAACAAAACACCCTGCCCTACAAATCCTCCAGATTTGTAGTTTTTATTTAGAAACATAAATTTAAGATGATTTCAAAGATTGAAATGCCATTGAAATTTTCAAAAGTGATTTCAGTTATTTTAATCCCACTCAGAGAAGAAAGAAGATGAAAGGAACAGAAGATAATTTTTGAGTTTGTGGGCATTTTTGAGAAATCAATACTTTATATTGGTTTGGGTGAAGGGAAAGAAAATCCACATCACAGTGATTCTGACAAGGAAAAATAACTATTTCCCATTCCCTGCTGGTTAAGTTTTTGTCCCTACAGTGACTCTCTGGCTGTCTTGGGCACCACATCAGTAAATCCTGATCTGATGCAGAGACCCATGTGAAGGTTAGAAATATGAATATTTCACTTCAGTGACCTGTTTCCTCTGCACTTTGCCTTCTCAGTCTTTCTAGAAAAAAGTGAAAATGTAGGGACTAAGGGGAAAGAGATTTTACAGGGCATGGACAATTGGTAGGATGTTGTAAGTATCAAAAAAACCCAGATAGAAAAGGCTTCAAGATATTTTTTTTTAGGTCACCTGTCTGTCTGCTAGACATGGGAAACTTATTTGATAGGAAAGCTGGTATCTTAGGGAAGACACAAAAAATACGTGAATTCTAACCAAAATGAGTGCTAAATATGGAAATATGTCTTCATTTCAGACTGGGAGTGGCATAGTCTTTTATAAAAGGTCTCCAAAAGGCTATTTCCAAATAACTAGCATTTAGAACATTTATCCACAAGTCTCCAGACACTTTTCAAAGCAGAAATTTATATTTATTCCCAGTTAGTAATGTGAGGAAAATTATACTTAAATATTTACAAGCAATATTTTGCAAACATCAATTAATAATACCACATAAAGTCTGGATGCTTGAAGTTTGAACTTGTGTCAATATCTGGGTCTTTATATTATAGCATTGCAAAGAGGTAGACATAATTTAGTTAAATTTTATTTTCTTTTTAGGTATGCCTGGCATACAAAAAATATAAAAAAATCATAATCATTGTAAATAATTTTTAAAATAGCTGGAAGAACTAGACCAGCAGTAGCATATATGAGTATTTTAAGCCCTTCCAAGTCACTTTAGGAGTCAGGTGATTTAATGATTTTGTGTTGCATTTTATCATAATTTTTGATCTTCAAAAGTCCAGAGAAATGAAAATGTGATGGACTTTGCAGAAACAATAAGCAAGAAAAAAGAAATTAAAGGTATCATTACTAGTTATGTTATTGCATGATTTTTACACTGCTTGTGTGACCTTTCTGTGTCCTGATTCAGGGAACTGACTATACTGAGACATGTAAAACTCTTTATGATCTTGCAAGTAAAAGAAACTAGTGCATGTATTATAGAAGCTGGAAATATCTGCATTCATTCATTCATGCATTTCCAGGAGATACAAATCATATAATCATAGAATCATTCAGTTTGGAAAATACCACCAAGATCATCAGGTCCAACCATTCTCCCAGCACTGCCAAGCCCACTACTAAACCATGTCCCCAAAAGCCACATCCACGTGATTATTGAACACTTTCAGGGATGGTGAACCCACCATTTCCCTGGGCAGCCTGTTCCAACATCTGAGCACCCTTTCAGCTAAGCTTTTCCTAATATCCAATCTAAACCTCTCCTGGCTCAACTCAAAGTTGTTTCCTCATGTCCTATCGCTTATTACCTGGGAAGAAAGACCAACCCTTACCTGGTTACAATCTGCTTTCAGGGCATTGTAGAAAATGAAAAGGTCAAGTAAACAGTAAGTTTAATATAGGATTAAATGGAAAATAAAATTTATGGCCTACAATTTTTTGAAACCTTCAATTTGGTAACAAAAGGAATGATACTGTGCTCATTTGACAGTTCAGTAGACCCTGAGAAGTAAAGTGGAAATACTACTTTCAAAACTTAGGATTTTCTCAGAAATGATCTCTAGGGGAAGGAACAAACTTTAATGTTCTCAAAGGCTGAACAAGATTGTAGAAAATACCAGAATGGGACAAAATCTGATATTAAGGTACATAAGTGTAGGTGAAAACTTGTAGGTGTAAATATCAAAAGTGCCAAACTCCCATTACCGCCAAAGCAGACTTTATGTAGTTTCCTGTCTGTAAGAGTCTACAGAGATTTGATGTGTCCTGTGACACTTGGAACACCTTCACAGATTTGATGGAAATGTTATAGGACTGAAGTCCAGCCTGCTTCTAGATGTTTTAATGCTGGGCAGGTTACCCTTGTGTATCTCAAATTGTTTACAAAAATGAATGGGCCCTGGTGCTTTGTTCAATACAGGTCACAGAAGTCTGGAGAATGAAATAACACATTAAATGGATGTGTCTCCTTTATGGTGAGCTGCACCATTCTCCTGGTTACACTGAGGGCTCCAGCCTAAATAAAAATGTGATTTGGGTGCTATTTGAGATGTTCTGGGGTACCCAGACATCTATGTCATGTGGACCGGTAATAATACCAGCAGGACCCTTTTAAAGCAGCAGTGGATGGATGAGTTAATAACACTAAAAAAGGCTCAGTTATATCTTACCCTAGATTTTCATTGACTACATAAGAAGCTCAGACATCCAGCTTACATAAAAGCGCCAAGATATTGCTACTTGATCCAGAGAATAATCTAAAACTTCTGGTTTAAAAATTAGTGCTCATAGGAAAATAATGTTTTGGAGTGAGTAAGGGGTCTATTTCCTTTATAATTTAGCCTTTTAGTTACCAGTAATCATTAAATATGGCAGCTCTCACCAACATAGCCTCATGCTTCCTATTTAAAAGCCAATTTTTTTAGTGAAATGTTGCTGCAGAGTCTCGTGGTAACTCTACTTTCAGTTCCTGATGAATAGATTCTTCTCCACAAATGGGGATATGCAGAACCTTTTAAATTCCCCATGAAGCTTATTAAGAGAAATAATTTTATAGAAAATTTCTAACCAGCCCTTCTTGCCAAGCTCCTATGAGGGTGTATTTTATTAGGCTCACTTTAGGTAATGAGCATAAAAAGGCCGAGAGATATTATCCTCTACTTTATCTTACATTTCTATCAGTAATTCCTCTTGCTCTAATTTTGGTGGCCCTTACTTCTCTGCAAGTTAAAGTTTTTGAAAATTCAAGGAAGTTGGATAATTTCCCTTTGCTGATGAAAGTAAGTTTCAAGTTTGGGGGAAAAATCTGATTTTACATTTAAATCAAGCATAACAGACAAGATTAATGGCAAAGCATTCAAATGTGTTTCCTGAAAGTAAAATTTAGCT